TTTTGTAGCCAGGTCCTTCCCTACAGCAGCCGTATGTTCCTTGATTTCCCTGATTCTTTCTTCATTTTCTTTCAAAGTTGGCTCGTCCTATAAGAAATTCATTTCATTAATTTGGTTTTCACATGAAACTTTTCCCTATAGGTCAGCCAATTAACGTAATCAACTAACCTTTACATATGTCTTGACATATTTCATCCCTCTGCTGACGTATACTGGTACATGGGCAATATCATCGTAAGTGAGACTGCTCGCATCAAGCATGCCTGGTGGAGGTAGTTTACCATCGGCAGTTGTAGGTACATGAGTCGCAAATGTCACAAATGGATTCTTCTCAAGTTCGGGAATCCATTTCTCGAACGGATGCCATTCCTTTGTTATCTATAATGAAAATGACAATTCTGCATTAAGTATATGCAATATTAGTGAAACTGCATAACTAGACAATATATCGATCAAACATACTGGATCACATAGATAAGATGGTCTATATTGACCCTTGTAACGCATCTTCGGACAAGAGTGAATGTAATATCCTACAGGAAAAAAAAACGCGCATTATTATAAGAACAATTTTCACGTACTATACACCGCTAATCATTCCATCCTTTCTTTTCACTCACCCATATAATAATACTTCAATTCGTCACGACCATCTTCTCGTAATTCATTAGCTAATGCAATTTCTCTTAACGCGCTATACTTTCCCAATCCCAAAAAGGAATACTCTGGATCATACATGAAATAGACAGAAGACACAAAGCGGGGCAATATGTCCAACACTGCAACGGCAATCAGCGTGCCATCTAAATAATAGCATTGATGGTATGAACCATATCCTGGTTCTGTATTCCTGGGAGACGGCTCGATCTGGTAAAAACGAACGGGGGAGAGATCGAGAAACACGGAATGTCAGTACGACGACGCAATTTTGTCGATAAACCGATACTTGATACTTGCTTTTAACGGGGATTCAACTAGAAACCTTTCATAACCACGCGCAGAGACTTTACTAGGAGGTTCTTGGTGTATTATTGTCTGATATTTCTTGAATAGATTAAATTTTTCATCGGTCACCGAAGATGGCTCCATCACAACCTGCCAAATCAAGAATATTAGGAAAAACCGTCCTTGTACGTGTATGCATCGTAATGACGACACAAACGTACCTTGAATTGATGTTTCCACCCTTCATGTTCCTCCGAGATGTGAATTGATTCAGACAGATCAAACGCTTTCTGGGCTTCTTTCTTCGATTTCGACTGTGTACGGTTGTTAACGCTATATAGTTTAGTACAAGGTTTGATGGCAATCAGTATGAGAACCCCATGGCTAGCTAAAGATATTGAAAATCGTCTAAAAACGTACACTTCACTACCATCATCGGCTCCCGAAGGCACCCAAGTACCTTGGATGAATCGATTAAATTTACCAATTACCTTCCTCTGCGATTTTGATGCCGAAAACTTTGTAGCGTCTAACCTATCAAAGGGACAAATCAATTCGTTAACGATCGAATCGTGGAGGAATGTGTGAAAACGTATATTCAATAAAACTTTGAAAAGAAATACCTT